GAGGTGGGCGTTTCTGGCTCTGGCGTGGGAGGGGCAGCTGAGAATGGAGTGGTGGAAGAACTCGGGTTCCTCCTCGTAGTAGGGGCAGGTGTCTGGGGCGTCTGGGTCCCTCTAGGAGCGGTGGCTGGCCAGGTAGCTTTTTCCGGACCTCATCTGGTGGATGCGCCCTGCTACGAATTTCCCCATCCCCATGAAGGGGTGGGGCGACAGTGTGGACGAGTAAACGTAACGGGGCGGTGGTGGGTACTATTTGGACCATACATTTAGGAGGAACTGTCGGCAACCCCTCTTAAGGGCCGGAAAGGGGGGGTCTTCAAGTGCCTGTAGGGGCAAGGGTGAAGGGAGGAGGACAGGTGATGCTGGTGGGACTCGGGAGAGATGTCCAACAAGTTTGACCACTCTGTGGGCTATTGCATCAAGGGGGAGATGCCTCCTGGTATCAGAGGTCCTTTTTTTTTTTTTTTTTCTTTTTTAAAATCATTTAGTTACTTGTTTCAAGTACAAAAACATCTCATGCAGTGCTAGCTATAGCGTTAAGAAAACCCCTCCACCCCGGACCAAGAGAAAACCCGTACCCCCAAGACCCTCTGGTATGCGCCCAACCGCACACACTCCAAGGGCGACCAGCCCAGGTGCCCAGCCCACAGGCCTCACGACTTGAACGCGAAAGGGTCTCGCCTAGAAGCCAACCAAAAGCCCAAGAAGATTCCTCGCCTAAAAGAAAAACCCACCCACTAACTACACGTAGCCAACAGGAAGGAAACCAAACAAGCTAGGCAGGAAAGCATAAGGAAAAACTCCATCCCGTAAACTACAAGACCCATAGGACCACAAAATAAAATGACCACTGCCCACCGTACCACCAGATTTGCCATTATTTAAAGAACTGCTCCTGAAGTGGGCAGCCGGCGACAACCCCTCAGGCTGAGCACCCCCAACCAGCTAGGCCACAAATGTAGTGCAATACTATGGCCCGCCAATCGAGAACAGAGGCCACGGTGACAGGCCCAAGGAATGGATGCTCGGCAGAGGGGGTGCCACCCAGCAGTAGGATGCCAGCCAAAGGAAGGAGGTAGTAGGGTACCAGCCAAGGAGGGAAGGCAGTAGGGTGCGAGCTGACGCGACCAAAGTGGAAAGTGGAGGTAGGGCCAAAGGCCTCAGTGCAAACCCGACCGTAGACCGAACCGATGTATTACCACGTCTCTCATGTAGTCCCTTGTTCTCCGAGAGATAACATCACTTAGTAGAAGGGATCCCACTGGCGGCAGGGAGATGGAAGGGCGAGGTGAGGAAGGTAACCAAACTTGAACTGAGCGACTAGGAGGGCATGGTCAAATCTCACCGCGAGACAGACCCCGAAGTTACTAGCCGAGGCGTTCCCCAACAGGGATCGTGCAAGTGGGGAGAAGGACGTCCACCACTGCCAGTGCCGTCTGGAAGCAAGGAGAGGAAGCCCACCGTGCCAAAGCTAAGCGAGTCCCTATTAGCAAGGCAGGACTACTGGGCGAGCCCAGATAACTCTCCCATCAAGCAGACAAGAGACAAGCGAGGCCAAAGCGGGAGAGGATGGTAGAGTTAACCATGCCCCTAGGCAGGAACCATTGAGGGGGCAGAGGGGAGTGGGAAGGCCCACGATAGTTGACGTGGTGTTGCCAAACTATGTGGGAGGAAAATAGGAGCGACGGAGCGTGTGATATCAGAGGTCCCTAGACCTCACTATTTATACAGACACCTCACTCAACCCTAACCCTGTGTGACTTATACCTTCAGATCCCCATATCCTATGACTCACAATCATAAATCATGTGAGATCCTTAGTTGACTCATATAAGTCAACTCCGCAACATGTCTAAACCAATCATAATCCTTATAATAAGTCACACGTGCTAAGTGCATTACATGCGTGAGACTTATAACTCATAAGTATAAGTCACGTGCAAAAGTCATAACATCATATGACTTACAACTGTGAGTTATCGTATAACAATAAATCCAGATAACTTGCAAGTACAAGTCATGTGAAAAGCTTTGTTCTGCCTCTTCAATCTACCTTATCACAATCTGGTTAGTGACAGATAATTGGAAAAATACTAACTCAATAGGCTTTTTGTCAAAACAGGATTAATTTCAATAATCTGCCAGTTACATAATGCTTTAACAAGAAGGAGGCATGAATGCTAAGTGGTCTTTGGTATGAGTTTCTTCTTACATTGCATGAGGAAATGAAGTCATCCTCATCCAAGCCCTCCTTCTGAAAACTATGATGGTTCTCTCCCACCTATCCTTACTGACATCATGCTTATCTATCTTCCTTCTAATACAATTTCCTGACTCCAGCCGTTTGATCAAGGAATTATTGCCTCTTTTAAATCATCTTATCTGTAAGCAGTACGGGTACTGGGTTAATGGTTTTGTTTTAAGTATCACTTTGATACTTATCTTTGTTTTATGTTTTATTTTAAGTATTACATTAATACTTAGTTTGTTGTAAGTATTGTTTAATACTTGGTTTTGTTTTACGTTTTATTTTAAGTATCATTTTTGATACTTAAGTTGTTTTACTAAAGTATATTGCTCAATACCTTTGATTTGTTTTATTTATGCTAGACATGATCAGATTTGTGTATTTAAAGACCACCTGATTCCACATTGGAAAAGGCAGACTTTGACTAATAGTATTTTAATATACTTAGTTGAACAATTACTTCTTTGTTTTCTCAGTACACCTTTGGAGCCTTCTTTAGTTCTTAGCTCTCGCCCGCTCTCTGGTAGAGCAGGCCACCTGTCAAACTATCGTACCTTTTGCCGATAATATGATTAGCACCTTGTTAACATATTACATTATCGTTGACAGTATGCAAACCTTATGGTAACATACTTTAATACTCACAAATGTACACCACTGAAACACAATATACTCTCCACAATTCACCTGATGCCTGAGATATAGGAGGCAATTCTAGCATCAACGATCCAGAATTGCTCAAAGCGTTCCTCCCTTGTCAGAGAAGTAAATGATACAGTTGCTATTTCAATTCAATCTCATACTACTGAACCCTTCATTCGACAAGCAGAAAGCGAGGCCCAAGTCTCATTAAGAAGCATAAACCCTGACCTCAACCCCGATATGTTCAATGATAACTTTCATGACTTCTTCTACTTTGATGATATGGTTGAGCCAGAGACTACTGGTATTCCAAGCACACCAAATATAATTACTCTCACAGACAAATTTGTGGAATTAGGCTTATTTGATCTTAGGCTTGAAAAAATGAATCTTAGCGACCAGGATACTCCTGGCAATGATGCAGAGGAGATTGAATTCCACCTACTTTCTCTGATTACTATAGCCAAAGCAGTAATCTACATACAATCAATCATGCACCACCTGCTGTCACTTCTGATGAGTACTCTTATCACACCAGCTGGTTGGAATATCTCTATTCCTACTGTTGTTCAAACAACCACATGTTTGGCCTCAGCTCTTTCCTTGTATACTTCATCTCTCTTCTAATATTGTTTTTAAAGTAGTAAAGAAATCAAGAGTGCTGCTAATCTAAAGGTTTAGATACGGAGAAACCATCAAAAAAACAATCTAAAATCGATATATTTACAAGTTCTTCAAACCTCTTACCTCTCATTCAACCACTCGGATATGCTTACAACCCACAGCAGAAGGCCAACCTACAGCTGCAGGGGAGAGACTACATGAGGAATTGGAGGAAGGCTGAGCGGGGGTAGGACTGATGGAAATGGAGATAGTGAAAGCAGGAGTGGTGGAGGTGGATGGGGTGAGATTGAGCAAGGAAAAGAAAACGAGACCTGAAAAGGGAAAGAGAGAGGAACATGAAAAAGAAGGGAGCGAGACAGGCGATGAGGAGGAAGGAAATAGTTCATGGAAGCGGAATGAACTTCAAGTTCACCCATATGATTCTCAGGATTTGAACTTATATCCTGCGAACCTTCAGGACTTTTCTCAAGCATATGCCAATCTACTTCATTAACTGTCGGTTGCTGTATTTTCCTTTTTTTCCTTTTTTTCCTTTTCTCTATATGTTATACTGAGGGGACTTTGTATGCAAACAGGGGGATGGATATCAGAATGTGTCATTCGAATTCAGTATAAGTCCCTTTTCATTACACTGAGGATTTTTGTATGGCAGGATCGAGTTCCCACTGAGGCTATCCATTATAGCAAGGTATTCAGTACATCGCGGTTCATTATAGCGAGGTGCGACTGTACACACGAGCATATAACTAATGTTGAAAGTATAACAGGGGAGACATGTATAGAGCTGCTGGTGCGTGCGAATAGTCGTCGAACCATTACTATCCCCGAGTCGGGGTTTACAGTTCTACCATAGGATGGCTCTATGGAACACTCATAGCTGAGTGGAGAACGACCGATCATAACCCGCCAAATCCATAGGCTCGTACTTGCAATAAACAGTCTATGCGCGTATCATATTATGGGCTAGACTAATAATGGCCAGGTGCCTTTCATCTCAACCTTACAGTACGAGTACAGTACTCGTAGCTCATAACCGATCGGGAATGGCGGCTCGAAAAAATACTACTGTAAAAGAAAAATAGAAAAGGAAGATAGTTGCCAATCGATAATATTTAATTTTGAATTACCAATTCCCAAGGATATCGTACATCAAGTATCATAACAATCGGCAAGAAGGGACCTCCAGAAACGGCAAGAGTTTGTGCTCGGAAGAACAATGTCCTGGTCCGCCTGCCCGTAGTTCAAAATTGCTTTGTCAGCCGAGCGGGCATGACGGGAATTACACATACTGTTCTGAGACATACACAATTGCGGGGTCACGCATTTTGCCATCAGCTCCCGCACTCTTCGTGTAACCGAAGTCGATAGGCTTTCCTGAGTATCAAACGATTCCTTTTCCTCCCGATTTCGTTCTATAGCCCTCTCAGTATAAAACCTCCCTGTTCCTCCTCTCTGAATTTTTTCGCCGGCTTTCCTCGTGCTCTTTGGTATGATACAGTAGAGCGGATCTCTCGGTTCCTCTACTCGAGTAGATTCGTTAGGACGCGCTCCCAAGATTGCCAACGAGCGTCCTTGGCAGAGCGTCTGATAAAATCTAACTTGAAGCTTCCGTTTTCTTTCCTTTTTCACCCTATTTCGTACGCCCACACACGTCAGCACACCTGCACGCACACATCTGTTATATCAAAGCTTCCCGTCTTTCTCTTTTCCCCTCCCCTCACATTTCCCCCCCTCCCCTTCCCCTCCTTCACTTATCAAATTGTTATCAGATACCAGTAATAGCAACGAGGGAGAAAAAGCCGCAAGAACTCCTTCAAGGTCAACAAAAAAACGGCACTGAATACAGTTCAGTGAGCGATGGTATTATCTATTCCAATCATCAATTGAGATTGCCCACTGACGCTACAGGCAACCCCTCGCTCTTTACGTTCGTTCTTCGATTCTACTCCGGCGGATCTACTGGACTCGCAGTTGTCTTCTCTCGCCCTTATCTCTCGAACAGCTTATGAGCAGAATCAGTCCGAAATAGCAACACTGCGGAAAAAAATTGAGGATAAAGAAAGCGAAATTTCTTCACTAATAGTCAAACGCGATGGGGTAGGTGAGGATGCTAGTGCTGGTACTGTCGGGGTGGCGGTGGAGATTGGTGTGCTGGAGGTTCAAATTACAGAGTTGCGCCGGCGTAACGAGGAGTTACTCGGAGAAAATAGGCGGATTGCCAAAGAGCTGGAGAGTTCCGAATTGAAAGGAAAGGCCATCAAGGCTGAAATTACCCGCTTGAGATCGGATGGGTCCAAGAGATCCAAGGAACTCGAGGAAAGAAATCAGAAGCTATCCGCGGAATTGTTGGATGCGAAGACTGCGTTTTCACAACTACAACAGTCAATTGGCAGTCAGGGCGGAATGACGAATGGGCATGGGATCGGCTCAAGTGGTGCGATGATGGCCGATAACGAAGCGACATTGCATGAGCTCAGAAGTGAGAAGGAAAAGCTACTGACTAGGCTCCGTTCGTCCGAATCTGGCAAAGCAGATCTTCAGAGGATCAATAGGGAACTTAGAACCGTAGTGAAGACTAATGAGAACAGTAACGTCGACTTGCAGAAGGGAAACTTAGACTTGAAAGTACAGATTTCAAGTCTAGAGTCGGATAACCAGAAACTCCAGAAGAAGAACGCGAAATTCGACATGATGGTGGAGGAAAAGGAGCAACTGGAGAAACTTGTCGTGAGCTTACAGGCTGAAATTGAAAGGCTTCGTGCGATACCTCCTATAGATAATAACACGGGAGCACTAGAGGCGGAAATCACGAAATTACAGGGCGAGGTTGAACACCTGAACTCGCAGCTCATGGGCAATGGTCCAACCTCGCTACTAGGTTTCGAGGCGGCGAATAAGCAACTACTAAAAGACAACATCGAATTGACGAGGAAGAATGAGGGGTTGTCCGAAGAGAGCAACAAGTTAGCGAATCGACTGGAGGCCGAGAAGAGGGAGGTCGCTGCCCGCGATGCCGAGATTGAGATTTTAAATCAGCGCTCACAGAGGCTTCTCGACGACCTCAATATTCACAAAGACTGGGAGGAGCGTCTGAGGGACGAAAACGTAGCCTTGCGATCACAAAAGGATAGATTGTTAGTCGACCTGGACGATATGGAGAGGGACCTGAGGATGTACCGAGCAAAAGCACCGGAACCGAAGCCCTTGAAAGCTCTGTTAGATAAGCCGTTCGAGCATATTCCGACGAGAAAAGATGCGCGGCGCAATTCCGGAATCGCCTCAAATGGCACACACGGCCAGTCTAGTGGAACTTCTATCTCACCAAGGGGACAAGGCATGAAAAGACCACTCGACAAGATGGAAGGCTCGGGGAAGGAGGTAAGCGGAGGAGGTGCAGACGGTAATTTGATTGGCGGAAACGGAAACGGAGGCAATCGAAATTTTAGCATTCGCGCGATAGCCTCGGAGGCTAACGGTCCCGCGCCAGCACCATCGGGAGTGGCCGGTTTACCAGCGCGTATTAGTACGAGCGTCCCAACATCACCTACGGCCGGAAGAAACCCCATTGAACGAGTAAACGGAGGCCTCCCCTCTCGCTCGCTTTTCGAGAGAATCTCCCTTCCACTCCCGCAACCTCCACCGATTTCACCAGTTTCTCGCAGGTCTGAAGAACGAGATATCGAATACCTTATCAACAGCACCAAAACCGGCAAACGCTGCATTACCTGTCGCTTTAACGGCGGTGGCGACTCCCCCGACCCTGCTGACCTCCTATCGGTCGTCTGCGGCGGCCCGCTGGAGTATCTGCGTGTAATGAGCGACCGAAACATGGGTATTCTCTGCTTCCTGCGTCCCCACGACGCAGAGGCATTTCTGGCCTACGCCGAACGAAACCTTAATGGGAAGCGTGTATTTCACGACGAACGTTGTGTGGTGGACTTTTTGTGGCAGGACAAGGCTATCAAACCCATTGAGAGGGAGATAGCATATCACGTGGTGCACTATAGTCGGTCCAGGATCTTTAAGTTCCATTGCCTGCCCTACGAAATCTCGCTCGAGCGCTGTCTTGATAAGATCACCTCTCTCATTGGCGATCGGCCGCTGTGGCTGAACGAGGGGCTTAGGGTCCAGCGTGGACGGGAGGTCGAAGTCGAGTTCATGAGCATTCGAGACGCCACCGAGGCGAGACGCTTGTTAGATGCTCAGGCCACATCATGGGGGGGCATTTGCTGGTGTAGAGAGGAGTGCGATCGGCCAATTCCTACAACCAGACAGTAAGATATCGATTCCGCCGGATTTTCTCTTACAAGGCATCAGTCCACATCAACTCGTAGGTATTATAAGCAGATTTTTCATGGGAAATTTTGTCTTTTACGTGATACTATCTTTTTAGGGATTTCGTGTTCTTAGTTTTTATTTCCTCTTCTTTCCTATTGCTTTTTCTTTGCTTTGATTCTGTGGGCTAGTGTGGCGAATGGATGCATGCATGGGCGGTCAGGGGTCGGGGTGCTGGGAAAGGACCAGAGAGTATTGTGCTAGGGGAGGTGAGGTGAATAATACACTTGGTTCATCTGTTGGTATTTTTCACATCTGTTTGTTTGCTTGCTTGGGCGATTGATATCATACACATTTAATAGTTACAATACCCTTATTGGATAAATCCTTTGTGTTTGTAACTGCATGGATGAAATAGAACTACTGTGTTGCGGGCTCGCTCACGATAACTTGATATTTCTCGGATACTTTTGGTGTGGTTCGTCGCTCGTGCCCGGTTAGGCTGGAGAAATCTGTTGTTCTTTCGTATTCTCTTTTGTCTATCGTAATGTCGAGAGTACTTGTTTTCGTTTGCTTATAATGTTCTAAATCCATCATTTCTACTACTACTCCTCGGTTTTGTATTATCCGACGTTGTTAGATTTCCCCTAGATCTTTCGCTTGTCTTCTATCGAAGACCTTCATGGTAATAACAGAACGAACCACTCTTGAAATCTTCCTCCAATGTTGTCGGCCAAAAAATAATTTCCTCTGATATGTATGACATCCATCATCATAGATTCTCTAAAACCAATCATCCCTCGACACCGAATACTCTGGATGTCGACCAACATTCTGAACCTGAGTGGTAACTTAGGTCACGGATTGAGGCTCAAAGATCCTCCTACACTCGCCAAGCCACCATCCCAGCGCCAAACCGAAATTTCGAGACCAGATCTCCCGCAATTCCCCCACCACCCCACCACTTCCCACCCCCCCTACACCAACAACAATAACTACAGCAGCAACAATGGGAGGAAGACGCCAAAAACACCGTGCTGGCAATAACGGTGCTGGCGGCGGCAGAAACCGCCGTAATAACGGCAACCAAGGCACCGGAGAGCGCGGAAACTACTCTTCAATCCCAACCGAAAACGCCCTCTACGAATTCTACTACAAGCAAACAGGCCTAATTCCTTCGGGAGAATGGGATGACTTCTGGACATCGTTGCAGAGGACACTGCCAACTACTTTCCGCTTTACTGGCGGGAAAGCGCATGCATTGGGGGTGTTGAAGACGTTGAAAGAAACGTTGATTCCGCATCTGGTGGGAATTGAGTGGGAGGGGGTACCGGTGGAGGCGCCCAGGGTGTTGGAATGGTTTCCTGATAGCTTGGGTTTGTTTATCCCTTCATGTTATGTTCGGAGGATTGTGTTAATGGATCGATAGCATGGCAGTTATCTGTCGGAAAGTCCACAATCCGACGATGTCCACCGTTTAAAAGGTTTCAAAATTTCTTGGTAGCCGAGACCACGGTGGGGAATATTTCACGGCAGGAAGCGGTTTCCATGATTCCCCCGTTGGTGATGGATATCCAACCGCACCATGTGGTGTTGGATATGTGCGCTGCCCCAGGTTCGAAAACTGCACAGATTATTGAAGCGATTCATGCGAATGAGGAGACACACGTTCGGGCTGCGATTCAAGACCAATCTATCGATGATGGGTCTGGTGGTAGACCTGCGGGCCTGGTCATAGCCAACGACGCAGATTATAAGAGAAGCCATATGTTGATCCACCAGACCAAGCGTTTGAATTCTCCGAATTTGATTGTCACGAATCATGATGCTACGATGTATCCTAGTCTTCTCGTTAAGAACGAAGATGGGAGGAAGGAGTACTTGAAGTTTGACAGGATACTGGCAGATGTACCCTGCTCCGGCGACGGCACCGCCCGAAAGAACTACAATGTCTGGAGAGATTGGAACCCGCTTGGCGCTATAGGTCTACACTTGACACAAGTCCGGATCTTGGTCCGCGGCCTACAGATGCTAAAAGTCAGTGGGCGAATCGTGTACTCCACCTGTTCCATGAACCCCATCGAGAACGAAGCGGTGGTGGCTGCCGCTATAGACCGCTGTGGCGGGTTGGGAAAGGTCAATATACTAGACTGCTCCGACCGCCTCCCTGAGCTCAAGAGACGGCCGGGGGTCAAAGGCGGCTGGCGAGTGATGGATAAAGACGGCTCCTGGTTCAGCTCTTATGAGCAGGTTGATAAAGCGGATATGCGCGAAGCAAGACTTAGTAGGATAGTGCCTAGTATGTTCCCATCTGAGGACGGAAAATCCGATGAAGATGAAAGTAGGGTCCCGCTAGAGAGGTGCATGCGCGTGTACCCGCATTTACAAGATACGGGGGGTTTTTTTATCACCGTTCTGGAGAAGAGGTCGGAAATTGGCGCTGTTAAGAGTGAGGAGCACGGGAGGAAGAAGATGGCTGCTATTGCTAGGTCTAAGAGTGTTACACCTGGCGAAGGAGGGAAAGGTGTGGAAGTTGAAGAAACGCTGGAAGGAGTCGAATTAGTACCTACGATCGCTACTTCTGGGGAGGAAACTCCCGCTTCTGGGTCACCATCTAAGAGAAAACTGACGGAAGTGGTACCCGACACAACTCCCCCCCTTGCAAAAAAACCCCGATCAGACCTCCCAGACTCTGGTGAGGGCGGCAACTCCGATGGTGGTGTCCCACTCGAGAGTGAAGAAGCCACACTTGGAACCCCCCCACAAGCTACAGCCTCTAATCCTTCCAAGAAATATAAGGGCCCACCCGCTGAAGAGCCCTTCAAATACCTTCCTGCAGACCATCCCGTCCTGGAAAGTATCACAAAGTTCTACGACCTCGACCTGCGCTTCCCAAAAACCTGCTTCATGGTGCGTAACGCCGAGGGTATTCCCAGTCGAGCAATATACTTCACCAACCACCTTGCAAAACAGGTGCTGGCCTCCAACGAAGGCTCCAATATCAAATTCGTGCACTGTGGCGTGAAAGCATTGATGAAGCAGGACGTGCAGGAGGAGGGCGTATGTCCATGGCGGATCCAGAGCGAGGGGTTGAATATTCTCGAAGGGTGGATTGGGGAGACGAGGGTTGTGCATGCCAGGAAGAGGGAGACGGTGAGGGGGTTACTGAAGGAGATGTTCCCGAAGGTTCATGCGGAGGGGCAGGAAGGAGATGTTATCGGGGAGATCGAGGAGAGGGTCAGGGGCCTTTCAATGGGGTGTTGCGTTCTCAAGGTCGAAGCGACGGAAGGGGAATTCGAGGATAGAATGGTGTTCCCGCTGTGGAAGAGTAGGCATAGTTGTAACCTGATGTTACCGAAGGATGAGAGGAAGCATGAATCTCCCTGCTGTTGCGATATCGGCTCATGATGGATGGCTAACGAAATCATAGGGCGATGCTAATGCGCCTCTTCAACGACGAGTCTGGTGTCAAAGACTCCACAAACAAAAACTCCCACCTCGCACGGGATGCCGCTGCAATTGCTGCTGCCGTCTCGACTATCGTCCCTATAGATCACGAATCCCTAATGACCCAGGCCCTGGCCATCGCTCGCAAATCAACTTACATCCCATCGGCCTTCTGCGTCGGCGCCATCATAGCCACACCAAGCGGGGACATTCTCTCAACCGGGTACAGCAGAGAACACCCCGGCAACACCCACGCCGAGCAAGTCGCCATCGATAAACTCCTTTCCTCATCTTCCACCCCAGAGGAAGCAGTGGTTTACACAACCATGGAACCTTGCAGCAAAAGGCTCTCCGGGAATAAGTCCTGCGTAGACCGGATTCTGGAGTGTGCATGGATCAGGAGGGTTTATGCTGGTGTCATGGAGCCTGTAGATTTCGTTGAGAATAGTGGAAAGGCAAAGTTGGAGGCAGCTGGGGTTGGGTACCAGCTTGTTGAGGGGTTAGAGGAGGAGTGTTTGGGGGTTGCGAGAGGAGAGGGAGAGGAGAGGGTGGAGGAAGAAGGGAAGAATGGGGAAGGGAAGTATGAGGAAGGGGGAGATGTGGTTGTGCAGGAGGTAGATAACTTGGGGTGTTAACGCCTACCCGCCTGTCTGTCTAGCTAGGGAACGAAAAGTTATGTTTTTTTCATTTTCTTTCCTTTTCATTTTTTAATCGTATGTGGAAACTGTATTGTTGTTATCGCATGATAGATTAAATTGAACCGGGCTTACCTTTGGCTTGTGATATAGTACTGGTATTTATTGAGGTCTTTTACCATGCGCACCATCCTTTGTCAAACCCTTCTACGTGGCATGCCCCGTTGAATCTGGGAGAGCTCCTTATTTTTGGTGCTTGTTTGCTTGAGGCTTTTGTTTGTCAGAGTTTTCATGATGTAGTATCTATAGGAGAATACCGTGTAGTTTGGTACAGTACAAGTACTCTATCACCTTTGTATTATGTGTTAGCAACCATTGATCTGACCATGATACACAAATACGCACTTTTTAACCTTAAAAACCGGCTCTGGCTGCCCTGAACGAGGTTATTATCGTGTCCAGGAATATAATGGAAAAAATTCCCTCTTCTTCCCCATGCCTAACCCTGAGAGTTAGAGTCTGTTTAGAGGTCTCCACCAGCTCACCTCGACTGTGATACTGGTGCTGTACCGGCACTGTAGGCCAACATAGACCAAGAATGAATTCGAGTTGCTGTAAGATCCCCGGAGGATAGTACGTGCCAAGTTACCTTGTGCGCTGTTCTAAAGTATCATAATTATAGCAGTGGTGGACCGGTGTGCTACATCGTTCAAGTGTTATACCGGTACTATGTTAACCCTGATTGTGGGGTTTTTGGAGGGTATTTACTTTTCACTGCCACGAGGATTTTTTGGGGGGGGGATTCTTTTCATATATCTCTAGTGGGCCATTCGGGTGGGTCTAGCAGAGGAGATTTATCCGTGAGTTATCTGCCCGTATATTTATCGGAGATTGCGAAGGTATTGAGTGTGTGCTGTGCTCTTCCTGTGCGTCTGTTTCGTCTTCGGCGGTGAGGTAGACCGATTGGGGGAAATGAGAAAGGGCGAATACGAGAAGTTTTTGTCAGTCGTGGAGATGGAATTGAGCGATCTGGAATTCCCGAGGATAGTAGGTAGGACTTGAGTGTGAGATCCGCTTAACTCTGGGATAGTTCATGCTCTTGTCACTTGGCAAAGTTATGCAGATTGGTAGACTGGTTACACACCCTCGTTACAGGTATCATGACTAGAGGTATAATACTTCGTAGCATAAGTGCTCAGCCCCACAAATACATATACTAACCCGGCTGTGTACAGTACAGTACAGTACTTTACTCGTATTATACAAAGGGTCTACCCAATCGGCGCTTAGCCAACACTAACATTACCAGTACCACTGGCACCAACCGCCGCGTTCCGAGAAATGATCTCCGCATCCGTATTCTCAAACCTCGCAAACCTCGCAAACCTTGTCCTCCACTTACTGGTTCAGTGCGTTACGATCTCAGAGCAGGGCAGAGCTATATCTATCCGGGGTAAGCAATCAAAGTAAGGATCAAGAAGGAAGGATAGTTCCTTACCCCTCCTGTACCTCGTAAACACCAAAACCAGTGCTAACCGATAAACTTTATCCTTAGAGCGTACCTTCCCCGAACTCCTGTAATAAGATGAAATACGGATGGACAGGAAGAAATCCTACGAGGGAGCGTTATACGGTGCTCGATAGGACAACCGAAAACACATGCGTTAGCGTCCATCGTTACAATATCTCGAATTTCTAAATTCGGAATAGGTCCTCCTCTTGGAGGTATAATAGGATTTCCTAGATGATTTTCGTTTTGGCATGGGGTAATTTAGGAACTCGTTGTGGCTGTGGGTTGGGAAGCAGAATAGAAAGATTCATCGATTCTTATGATATTGTCTTTGATGGGACTTGCGAACACGAGCTTTTCTATCGGCACTGTAAATTTAGTTATCACCAACACTATGATGGCAACGAAACAAGACCATTGTACTCACTCATATTCAGCCACAGGAAGTAGCAGCCGTCGGACAATCAATTGCTTGTGATAAATGGTTGACTTCTCAACCCTAGCTTAGTCTATTAATACTACATTTCCTCGTTCGGGTCCTCATGGAACACATGTACCCGTATCACACTAGCAGGCTGGAAAACTCCCGTACAAACCCATTCCGTGCGTGGCGCGAACGTGGCTTTGCTCTACAGTATGGAGAAATGGTTGCGGAATGCTTCGGTAGGTTAAGATAGTACTGTACAAGCGGAGTCCCCGAAAAAGCGGTCCCCGCCTTCCCACTTTGGAGTGCCGAGACTTCTGAGTATTTGCAAGTACTGTCACAAGTCGGGAGGTTCGGGATAGCCGGATTTGGGGGTACGGGGGTGCGTTTCTAGGTTATAGGGCTTGATAATGTATTGTGGGGTCGGTACGAGGGGGGCTTTCAGAGGCCAAACTACTCTATTGCTAGATAGGCTTTAGGGGCCAATGAGATTATCGCCCGGAACCTGTGCTCTGGTCGATTGCCCGGGGGTTGGATATCTTTGAGTGTTGGGAAGTCAGCGGAAATGCTGTACTGTACAAGTACTGTAGCTATCAAATGTTGAAAGTGTCATCATCCGCGGGTTGGAAGAGCATTGCTAAACCCATCGTGAATTGAACAAGCTGGGCAACTCCCTGAAGTGATCGATACGAGTTTGTCATTAAAGTCTCGACCGTCTCAGACCAGTATCGGTACTATAATATTATTGTACAGTACACACGAGGAAATGTGGGTGACGCAGGATCGGTTTCAAGTTATCCATTGTGACCCGACTTTGACAATTTCCCTTCGCCTGCCAACTACCGGTACCCAGGTTCCTCACCAGCAATCTTTCGTCCTGGGTACGTCTATGACATTAGGCTGAAGTGCCAATGTCAGGCTATTGTCCTACCGTACGGGTACTGAACTCGAGCGCAGTACACGAGACCCTTGGCGAACTCCCACCCTCAATGTCAGCCCCCAAAAGCCAAGGGAAAGAGAAAAAAACACAAGACGCAAGGTGCAATTGTTACAATAAAACACTTGCACGAATTTCCCTCATCATCCTACAAGTTGTCGACCTGATTATATTGCGTGGCATCGTCAGATGGTAACATTGACAGCATCCGATTATCACATCTGATCTCCGGGGTTTCAGGGTTTGGGCACTCCTTATCATGTAACCTTACCAGTAGAGCGTGTCCATCTCGCCACCTGTACTGTGCTCTTACTTGCCATGATAGACTCGAAATCTGCCATTACTTGTATTGTGGTACCCTGTGCTACCCGCATCATCTGGGGGAAAAACTGAGGAAGAATTGCTTGGCCTGTAAAGAAAACAGAATTGCCCAAAGAGAAAATCGTACGGATCATGTGGCGATTATTTAAAGGATTATTACCTGTTGAACCAATTTCTCTTCGAGCCATGGGTTCCGACCCTTGCTGGTTTTTCCCAAAATTTTAATTATACTGGTGCTGTACTAGTACTCCACTAGTACGCTCCCTAACGCCAAGTACTGACACTCATCCCCGAGGTGGGAGAACAGCTAGCGATACTCGTATTCAAAGCGCCCGTAGGGAGTAGAGATTTATACGCGGGGATTTGGCTATGTAAATCGTACCATTTGCTTATAGCTATAATATTGGTAGATTAGATTGATCCTCGTATGAATAAGCTTGGACGGGAAGTTGAAGGGGTATGGTGGAACGTAGCACAATGGATTCACGAGTGATGTAGGTAATGATTCGGAGGGATAGTGGCAAGTGGTTGGTAAATTAATGTTGATTGTGGTAAAGTGGTGCTTGAGAGGGATCGTGCTCGGCTGATTCGGGAGTGTGATATTGGGGGATGATGAAATTATGGGCTGGAATGGAGATATTCCATGAAGGGGAGTGAATGCAAGGCTTAGATAGGTTACTCCCTAGCTAGCTAACCAGCTAGTGAGCAGCAGACGACCGCATCACCGCAATACGAGAAAGCATAGTACTGTACCCCCAAAGAAGAGAAACCAAACATCTATATAAACACACTCTCCTCCACATCTCAGGAGACCCTTTCATCCTCACCACTACTGGCCTCGCCATAGAATCCCGCAAACTCTCCTTTAAACCTTAAGCTCTGCTCATTCCCAACCATGAAGTTCCTAGCGATAACCTCAGCCCTCCTCCTCTCCGCAACCGCGCTAGCCGCCATCAACGACCGCTGTGCAGTAAACGGTACGGCAGGCGTGTGCGTTTCCACTGCCGATTGTACTTCCGGCGGGGGCAAGTCCACCGCTGGCTACTGCCCCAACGACCCAGCTGACATCCGCTGCTGCACGAAACCCAAATGCGGCAATGGCGGCAGCTGTAAATGGACAGACCAATGCACAGGCACAACTGTCCCTAGTACCTCCCCCCATTACACTCGCTTGAACGGGATCTGTGCTAATAAGAGTAGATCAATGTCCTGGTCCCGCGAGCTTTAAGTGCTGTAAAAGCTCAGGCTCAGGCCCAGGCGACGGAATCCCAACCATCCCAACCAATAGATGCAAACCGCACGTCGTTACAAACGGTTACATTATCCTGAACCAATTTCCGAGAAAGGTACACACAGTTTGGTGCTACGCGAACAAGCCCGGCGATCACGGCACCGGAACCGCTCTCGACCTCATGGTGCAGAATAGGAATCCTATCGGGCGGACCATCGCCGAGTGGACGATGAATAATCATGCTAGGTTGAAGGTCAAGTATATTATCTGGGGACAGCGCATTTGGAATGTCCAGGTTGATGAGAGGCCTCGTCCGTGGGATCAGTGGAGGCGTATGGAGGATAGGGGAAGCGATACTCAGAATCATTGGTGTGTTTGACCTGTGGCATGATGTTTGGTTTGAGGTGCTAATGGTGGCGTTTAGGGATCACAATCATGTTAGTTTCCTACCCGCTTAGGCGGTTCCGATTCCGACGTGGGAGTTAGAAGGGAGGGGTGAGATAAGATTAGAGAGGAGAACTCTTTGGGAGTGAACAAGGCGCTATGGCGTGATAGGATGTGATTTGGTTCGGATTGTTTCTAATAGAATTTCTGCTGTTTCTCGTGATTAGTTTTAGACCATGTTTGGCATGCCGCAATATAACAAAAAAAAGATAAAAAAAAGGAACAGAAAGAAATTTACCACGTGAGTTCAAATCTTGTTAAAACCCGAGTGCTGAACGATAGTTGAGATGAGAAACAAAACTAGTAGACTAGGATTCCTGTCAGAGGAGGTATCATAGCCATGCCAAGGTCCTACTTTATTACGTAACCTCTAGAAAATCCAATTCTTGAAGAACGTGGAAGATCTTGTGAGGGGGTGTATATCAATGTGCGGGCGTTATTTCGGGAACAAGGATACGCACAAGAGTACTGTACCTAAAATCTCACCGTTGCTAACCAACCCGTAGCTTTATATAAGCAGATCCGCCGAGTATGAACACGTGATTACACCACCGGTAGGCCGAGTGACCCCTCATGGAGGTACACGTTCGAGGTAAGAAGTATTTGGAAATATGAGTCGTGACTTTGCATTACGCAAAGAATTTTGCCATAACGTATTGGACCGGGAAGTGAATCAGACGGGGAAGTGAATCACGTCAAAACGACGCAATGAACCTTCCGTGACCATTCTGATATTCCTACAAAGGAACAGGCAACAAATACTAAAGCTTTCTATAATGATAATAAAAGCTGGCAATCCACTCTGAAGGATAGATTTATCGATCTGAAGAAAACATTCTCTCAAACCATGGAATGGGTGAGCAAAGTAAGCTGGTCCACCTCATGGAATAGGAGGCATTGACTCTTGCAGAAGGGTTTTAAAAGCCAAACAAAACCCAAAACCCAGGTGGCAGGAAAGGGGACAAAGAAATAGCCCCAATAGTATTGCAGGGATGGCAAGTATGAAATATACTCGACATATTTGATGATTTTTTCTTCTTCAATAATGTCTCTTTGAAATGATCTCCAACATTTCTGCCCTGAAAAGCACTGTATCAAGTGAACTACCAACACTCCTTAGTACTGCAGACCTTGGTTACATGGAAAGAACTGAGTTAAGTTATACCTAAGCCATTATTCTATTCCTCCAACTATGTATAGCCAATTCTTAGACTAATTATAAGAGATGTGCTACAATTTAGAGCTATACTAAGAGGATTTCTGTTAGGTGGAGACAACCTGATAAACTTTCAGTGTTGTCTAGGCCAACCAAAATTTATTTCTGTAGATGGAGATTGTCTAAAAAGGCTCAGACTTCACTGGTTTCGTTTATTACTACTAAGAGTGGAGTAAAATAGGTAAAGTAGAATTGAATCGTAAAGACAATATTATATTATTAAGGTCTCTTCTCTGTTGCTTGATGATGTCTAAAGCTTGGGAGGTACTTTGATATTTATATTCCATGTCTGGGTGTTCACTGACTACATCTATTTATTATACAACAATGTACCTCTCTGATTATAACTCGCAACGTTGGGTATTCTTAAAAGGTACGAATACCAGGAGACCCTGAAAATTACTACACTCTCTTCGGCAATTACAATATAACTAACTGGGAACCATACTGTTCACAATAGTAATTATCCCATTATTAGAGTCTTTGGACTTATAGCCTAGTTCTCAAGTCAAACTGAGTTGGCCCCAATTGTCTTTGCCTTTGATGAAATATTTCAGTTTCATCTGCGGGTTGTATCTGCGAAGGGAGTTGTAATTACAATCTTTCTAGATTGCCTGACTTCAAACCTTCATAACTTCTTATCCAACCAATAGATATCTTCCAGAGAACTTCCTACTAATTTGCAGAAAGCTATTCAACTGGATTGACAAATAATCCCTCAATCAACAATCCTTGGTTGCTCTGAGTAACAGGGTTTCAATCACAGTTGTAGTATTGAAAGTTATTCCCACAACTACAATGTATTCTAAAACCTTGTTATAATATTGTGTGAAGTCCATTGGCTTCTATGGTAGTCTTTCTTGGAGTTCTAAACTTGTCTAGTTATTATAGGGTGGATGCAAATATATTGGTCACACGTTAAGATCCTTTATCATTCAATACTATCTCTTCATACAAAAGTGTCCTGTTACTTACAGCTCATACCAATAATGTTACATCTTTGAAGCCTAGTGACTCTCTGAGTAGATGACTGATTTACTCTGTTCTACTTTCCAGACATAGTTGAAGGTCTCCTCTCATATATTCTACAAATAGAATCCAGTTGGACAGATAGCAGCGATGTATATGGTGTTATTCTAACACCTTCAATTCTGTAGCATTATAGTCACAGGATGCAACTAAGATTGATATGTATGATAACGTGCAGGCCCTGTAAGGAGGCCAGAGAGGGGTGTTAGAGACCAGGGATTCTGATTATGAGTAGGGTTACCATACTTAGGATGATTCCTAGGTATCCGATCCTGGTATTCCTAACAATTTCACCCTTGATGAGAATACTGTGCCAGTACAAAATCAAAAAGTATAATATTAGGAATTTAAATAAAAAGAGCATTCATTGGGCCTGACTAAATCTTGTAAAGTAATTGTAAATAAATGTCAAAAATAAAAATTTTTAATATAAGGTAGGAGTAAGTAGGAAAACAATTATAGTATTGAAAAATGTTAGGGCAAGTAGGAAAATTGTTCCTACAATGTTGATCTTTAAGTGATTGTAACAGCAGTACAGTTGATATCAAAATAAAATGTCTAAATATTAATATATAGGTAGTTTTCTAAAAAGCATTCTGTAATAGAAGCTTACTGGGAGAAGCTGGATTCCGAGGGTGAAAATTCATTGAAGTGTTCTTTCTGAAAATAAAAATCAAGATAAATCAACAGTAGAGCTGAGAAAATAAAATGGTAAAACTTGATATTATTAAGCCTAAAACTTTACTTCAAGTTAATGAAGTCTTGATCTTAAAAGGTAGTTAATTTCTACAATAGAACTAAGATTGCATATACTTAAGTAGGATTTATATATCACCCTCTGCTCTCAATTACTCTTCTAGTTATGTGAGTATCCAATTCCTGTAGACTGTCTAGCTTTTTCCACTAGTTGGACTAAAGATCCTCAAAAGCAAACTAGACTACCTAGTGATACTCTGTTAGTAACATCTGCTGAATAAAAATATTTTAAGCACGGTATCACTAATACAACAGCAGGAGTTGTTAGGCATATGGGAGTGCACAGACCCTCAGTATGGTAATTGCACATATACCTTTATTTATCGGAGTTGCCAACCCCTCTCTCCGGCCTCTTTATAAGACCTGCATGTTCTTAGCGAGATTTTTAAGAATTGCATCCGATGACTATAATGTCATTGCAATGGAGTCTACTTCATAATACCATATACCTCACTGCTGTCTATCTGACCAGAAGCTATTCACAGGATATTTAAGAGGAGACCTCTAGGTAACTCTGGGATGTGGAATAAAGGAAATCTGTAAGAGGTACATTGAGTTACTAGGCTTCAAGATTAGGTATTTGAATTACAGGTGGTAGGTAATGGGACGTTTTCATTATGATAATTCGTAACTATTCCTTCAGTGCCATGGTGGCCATGGGAGATAGAAATAATACTTATACCTATCTGAAGGCTGCTGTAAATTGGTTGGTCCTGAAAACAGGATCCCTCAGGAGGTAATTCTCTTGAAGGTGAGGCAGACTGAGGAGAAGCTGCTTAGACTCAAAAGACCTATAGTTACTCATCATAAGTGTTTGTGATCTGAAACCTGTTTAATTAGCAATTGCGCCATACCATGCGGGACTAGGGTACCCGAGTGGGGTGTAAACAGGCACGAGTATGAACCAGTGAAGCAATCAACTAAACAATCTCAATAATTGAGATAGAAATAATACTAGCTAGTACTTTGTATATCCTCTCCTTGCTTCCAAAACTGCAGCTACCCTATCAGGCATTGATTTCTACAACTTTTCAAAAAACTCCTCAGAAATTATCTTCCAAACCATTGGTAACAATTGTACAAGCTTCTTCTTTCCAGCTTCTTTTTCTTCTGGGGTATCTCCAATTCTTGAATACTGCTGGTATAATCGCTTTTTGAGCTCAACCCATGCATGCTCAATAGGATTCAAATCAGGAGAATATAGGGTGTGTTCTTCAATCTCAATACAATTTCTCTTAAGCCAATCTATAATATTATATGCCTTGTGAACAGGAGCATTATCCTGCTGAAAAAGAGTATCTTCAAGTTGAATACCCAAGGAAATTATTTGATAAGTAACTGGAAAAAGATGTTTTCTTAAAAGTCTAACTGACCTGGTTTTATTGATATTTTGAGTAATAGGAACCAAAGGACCTTTACCATTACCCCAAATGCATCCCAAAACGATGAGTAAGATTCCCTTCTCTCTCTCTTTTAGATGAATACACTCAGCTAGCCACTTCTCTCCTGGCTTTCTAAAAACCCATTTTTGCCTTGGATCCTTAGATTTTTTTCACACTACACTCATTACTCCAAATAACCTTTTTGAAATCCTCCACTGTCCAATTCTTATGAGCAGTTGTCTACTGCCATCTCTTGGCAAAATGCTGAGCTTTGAGTCTGGGTCGTGATTTGGCTAGCGATTTTATAATGTTGGCTTCTTTGAGTATCCTATCTACTATTAATATGTGAGTTAGGTAACTGAAACCATATCCTATCACTATTGTAGTACAGGTACTTAGTATAGTATGAGACTCTGGGTTCCTTTTTGTTCTCAACTGTAGAAAGTGAAATGCCAGGTATGTATCTATCCCAGAAGTCCAATCTTGCCATTTTTCAATTTGACTTAGGTGCATGAATAATTATTTGATGCTGATTGTGAT